GGCAAAGGGGGTGAGGGGTGGGGGCAGAAAGTGGAGACGAAAGCAGACGACAGAAAATTGTTAGAGAGCAGGAAAGGATGTGAAAGGAGACATCTTTAGAGAAGAGAATTTTCTGCCGTTCCCCAGATTCGAACCCGGGACATATTGATCGAGAGGCAAACACCAAAACCTCTAGACCAATTATAGAGCTCCTGTGTTAGAGTCTGTGTGTTTATGAAAACATAATGGCGAACAACCAAACCAACAAACTTTTTATCACCCCCCCCCCCCCCGGGGGCGGTGCCATTGACTTAAGTGTCTTTAGGCCATTCCCAAAAAGGGGGGGGGGGCATTAACATCTCGAGTTCTTATGCACAGTAGAATTGTAATTGTGAATGGGCTGATGCATCAATGACATGCTCATAACGGTGCTTGAACTGCAACAGGGAAATGCTGCTTTTTCTTCCCTTATCCTTACTATCGTCATTTCTCCTCTACTTCTTTTGTATGTTTGTCACACTCTTGTGATCCGTTATTTCCGGGGTGCCTTGATAGTCGAAGCAGACTTTGTGCTGTTGAAGCTAGAGAGGTGAGCGGAGTAAGTCTGATTCCCTGTGAGGACTTCTCTGTTGACCTCCACCCGTTGGCGCTCATATGACCTTATGCAGTTGCGAGCGCCGTAAAACCTCAACTAAAGCCAACAAACTTTTTAATTTTAATGGTTCTTTTGTATGACCAGGCGAGGCACGTGGTGTCTGTGGCCCAGTGGTTAGGCTACCGGACTCGTACCCGTGAGATTGCGGGTTCAGGGGTTCGAGCCTCAACTGGGTCCGACGTTGTGTCCTTGGAAAAGGCACTTTACACGAATTTCCCACTTGGATCGGTCCTATCGGAGACGGACATTAATCAAACTAGGAGGTCCCGCCCCTTAAATCACCTAATAGTGTTGATAGGGGCGTTAAACCCATACCATTTTTCACAATTTTTCCCCAGGCGAGGCCCGTCCGCGGTTCTGGATCAACCCTGGTCCCGGCAGTCAGGAGCCTGCAGTGGTCAGCGTGGCGTGGTGTGAGCTCTGTCACCCACATCACTTCAACATGCCGCGGCTGAGCAACAGTAAACGCTTTACTTAGGCCTGTTTATGTTCGTTCGTTCGTTCGTTCGTTCGGTCCTTCATTCGTTCGTTCGTTTGAACATTCGTTCGTTCGTTCGTTCGTTCGTTTGAACATTCGTTCGTTCGTTCGTTTGAGCATTCGTTCGTTCGTTCGTTTGAACATTCGTTCGTTCGTTCGTTCGTTCGTTCGTTCGTTTGAACATTCGTTCGTTCGTTTGTTCGTTCGTTCGTTCGTTTGAACATTCGTTCGTTCGTTCGTTTGAACATTCGTTCGTTCGTTCGTTCGTTCGTTCGTTCGTTTGAACATTCGTTCGTTCGTTTGTTCGTTCGTTCGTTCGTTCGTTCGTTCGTTCGTTCGTTTGTACATTCGTTCGTTCGTTTGTTCGTTCGTTTGTTTGTTCGTTCGTTAGTTCGTTCTTTTTTTTTCTTTTTTTCTTTCTTTCTTTCTTTCTTTTTTTTCTTTCTTTCTTTCTTTCTTTCTTTCTTTCTTTCTTTCTTTTTTTTCTTTCTTTCTTTCTGTCCTTCCTTTTTTGAGTCTTTTACCCCGCTTTCTTTATTTCGGTAAAGGTCTTGTTGAGGTCTCCTTTCGGAACTTACAGTACTGTACCTACTTCGTACACTCAGGATCTCCACTCTATGTGGGACCACCATGGGGGGAGGGTGGGGGGAGTAGCCGTAACGTTATCAAAAGGCGATACATGTACCTCAACTAGACTTTTACCTTCCCCCCCCCTTTTTTTAACGTTTATTTTTCTTTTTTGTTGTTGTTTTTATATATAATATGTATATATTTTTCTGTTTTTGTTTTTGTTTTTAAAAATGAACTGTGATCCTTTCGCGAACCCAGTACTTTCTTGTCCTATCTCCAATATTAATAACAGTGAAAACAGCAACATAACAAAGAGTGAGCTTAAAAAGAAGTCATATTTTCAAAGTTAAAAAAAAACATGAAGATAGGACAAGAAAGCACTGAGGTTGCGCTTTGCAGTGCTGCGAACTTTCGGCGGTCAGATAGGGCCTTGTCCTGTCAAGCTGGGAAACTTATTTTTCCATACTTTTCTTTTCGTAATTTTTTTTTACATAGATTCTACTATTACAAATCTAATCGACGATAACTCTGCCTTCATAATTTTGTTTTGTTATGTTTTGGTTTTTATTTTGTTTTGCATTGTTTTGCTTTGTTTCAATCTTTAAATCTAGTTCTCACTTCTACGTCAAACAGAATCTGAACTCTTGATAACACGACCTTTCACTTTATGTACCGTACCTTGTTTGTGTTTGTTCTAAGCCTACTTTGATAAACTTTAACCCTGATGTTCGAGTTTTGTGACCACATGCACTACGCCTCAGTTTTTGTTGAACCAATTGTTTTTTTGTTTTGTTTTGTTTTAGTAAGTGTTTTACGGCACTTGCAACACTATAAGGTCATATAAGTGCCGAAGATTAAAGGTGTTACAAGAGAGTAACAAACACAAAAAAGAAGGAGGGGAGATAAAGACAATAGATGTTTGATAGGAAAGAAGAAGCAAACCACACCAGAGCACCCGCCAACCACCCACGAACCAATTGTGACGTTGACCGTTATTCAGTTTTGATGGACATACTATGACATGAGGACGGTTGTTTTTTTAATCAGATTTTGCTGGGTTCATGTTAAATTCGAGGCACCGAGTTCAATTTCTACATTAGGAGAGTATTTTTGTTTTCTCTTTTATTTGTTTTGTTCTTTTGTTTTGGTTTGTAATTTTAGGTTGCTATTTTTAGGGGGAGGGGGATAGTCGGAAATTTCAATATAATGTACGTTTTATGCCGTAGTGTATGTTTGTTTGTGCGTTCGTGTGTGTGTGTGTGTGTGTGTGTGTGTGTGTGTTTGTTGGTGTGTGTGTGTGTGTTTGTTTGTGTGTGTGTGTGTGTGTGTGTGTGTGTGTGTGTG